CTAAGTGGCTAAAATGGCCTGAGCTGCACCGATCCTACGTCAGAAGCCAGGAGCTTCCTTTAAATCTCCCACATGGGTACAAGTTCAAGTTCAGACTGCTCCATTTGCATTCCAGCTCCCTGCTCATGCATCTGGGAAAGCAGTAGAAGATGGCCCAAATGCCTGGGACCCTGTCCCTCACAAGGAAGACCCAGATGAAGGTTCTGGCTCCTGATTTTGGTCTGGCCCAAAGTAAACCAGTGGCTATAAGGTCTCATCTCTTTGTATATCCCTCTCTTTAACTCTGCCTTTCAATAAATAATACTTTAAAAGGAACTAATAAGCAAATATATATTTCCTTTTATCTAACCATACACATATTTATGATTTTCATGATCCCAATTCTTGTCTGTACATCCAAATATCTTGTAGTATTTCTTTCAAATGGGATAACTTCCTGTTATAGTGCAAGTGGTCTGATAATTGTCAGAGAAATGTTTTATATTTATCTCATATTTGAGGATAGTTCCATTGAATATGGAGTCATATACTGCAGGGTAGATTCTTTCTACAGTTTGAAGATGCCCTTACATTGTATCTGAGAAGTCAGCAATCATTCATGTATGATTGTACCTGAATAAGCCATGTATGGTTGTTTTTCTTACTGTTTTCAATATCTCTTTCTCATGGTGGGCATTTGGCATGGCCCTTGGAATACTGCTTGGGAGACCCACATCCCATGCTGGAGTATTTAAGTTTGGATCCTGGCCCTGATTTTGACTCTGGCTTTCTGCTCTAGTACACAGCCTTGAAGGCAGCAATGCCATGGCTTGGGTACTTGGGTTTTTGCCACAGAAGTGGAAAATCAAGAGGCTCCTTGCTTCCACCTGCTCAGCTCTGGCTGTTGTAGGCATTTGGAGCTTAAGCCAGTAGATGAAAAATAATCCCCCCCTCCTCCTCCTCCCTCATCTTTGAGTAAAAAATAAAAATGTGAAAGATTCACTCTTTATATAAAATTATTTTTAATTTACAAAAAGATGCATTGGTTTTTGAGATTTTTGAATTTTTGATGCCTCATCTAGTTTTCTTTGTAGCCATTCTGACTAGGGGGTCATTGAGCATTTAAAATCTATATACAGGGTTCTTTCACAAAATTTGGGAAGTTCTTAGTAATTTATTCAACCATACATTTTTTGTGTTTTTTTTTTCCTTCTGAAACTCTAGTTTCTTGTATTGAGGGTACTTTGAAAACTTATAGAAATTAGAAATTAAAGAAGCTTATTTTCATGCATTTTTTCAAATCTATGCATATAAAGGGCTTTAAAATATTAATGAAAATGTAAATTATATTCACAGCTTTCACCATTTTTCACCCTAAAATGTAATTATGTATTATTCTACTCTCCACAAATTTTCAAAATGCCTTTGAATATTAGATTGCTTTGTAAATCACTCCATGTGTTTTTGGACCTCTGCCCATTTTCCTTTTAAAGACTAGATAACAACTATTGGTTTGTTTTCTTAGTATGTTTTGGGTTGCATAAAAATACCACAGAATTAGTAGTTTAAAAAGAAAAGAAATTTGTTTCCTGTAATCTGGCAACCAGGAAATATGAAGTCAAGAGGCTGCATCTAGAGTAGGTCATCTCACCTCATCATAGCATTGCAGACAAAATTACAAGATGAGGGGCTAGTGCTGTGGCACAGTAGGTTAATCCTCTGCCTGCAGTGCTGACATCCCTTATGGATGCTAGGGCGAGTCCCGGCTGCTTCTCTTCTGATCCAGCTCTGTTCTATGGCCTGGTAAATCAGTGGAAGATGGAACAAGTTCTTGTGTCCCTGCATGCACGTGGGAGCCCTGGAAGAAGCTCCTGGCTTCTGATCATCCCGGCTCCAGCCATTGAGGCCATTTGGGGAGTGAACCAACAGATGGAAGACTCTCTCTCTCTCTCTCTCTCTCTCTCTCTCTCCTCACTGTCTGTAACTCTACCTCTCAATTAAATAAAATATTTTAAAAATTCTATGATGAGAGAGAGAGAGAAAAAATGAAACTCATTGCCTCAAGCCCTTTCAACAATGGTATTAATCCATTCCTAAGGACAGAAACTGTTCCATTAAGGGCTATTTTTACAATACATGATTGCAGGGGGTATGTTAAAACCATAGCATTTCTGGGGCCGGTGCTGTGGCACAGCAGGTTAAAGCTGTGGCCCCCAGCACCAGCATCCCATATGGGTACCGGTTCGAGTCATGGCTGTTCCACTTCCAATCTAGCTTTCTGCTGTGGCCTGGGCAAGCAGTAGAAGATAGCCCAAGTCCCTGGGCTCCTGCACCCTTGTAGGAGACCTGGAAGAAGCTCCAGGCTCCTGGCTTCAGATCATCTCAGCTCTGGCCATTGTGGTCATTTGGGGAGTGAACCAGCAGATGGAATACCTCTCTCTTTCTCTCTCCTTTCTCTATCTCTCTCTCTGGCTCTACCTCACTCCGTAACTCTGTCTTTCAAATAAATAAAATAAATTTAAAATAGCATTTTGAAAGCTAAAATATGGGTTATTATTTTGTCTTTTGTAACCTGTAGTTTAGTCCATGTGCATTTTTTTAACTGTATCATACAGCTCTAAAATTTCCATTGTTTGTCCAGTTGATTTTTCTACTGATAATTTTGGTATATCATCATTTGTATTTTTTTATGCCAATCTTTATGTGCCAGAAGATATTCAAGGATAGCATAAACATCTTATATTTTACTTTCAAAATCTGGGTTAACTTAAGTTTCTTTCTAGTGATTCTTTTTCCTTTTGATTGTGAATCACATTTTTCTTTCTTCACATGGATGTTGATTCTGATTTTTTTCTTGGATGTAATGAATTATGTGATAGTAATTATGAGTACTATTATATTTCTCAAATCAATTTTGTTTTATAATGCAGTCAATAGGCTAAATTCAAATTCCAAGCTCTGCATTCCTTGCAATGATAAGTAATTATTTTTTAAATATTTATTCATTTATGTAAAAGTCAGAGTTACACAGAGAGGAGACGCAGAGAGAGAAAGTCTTCCATCCTATGTTTCACTCCTCAATTGGCCACAATGGCTGTAGCTGAGCCAATCTGAAGCAAGGAGCCAGGAGTTCTTCCAGGTCTCCCACACAGGTGCAGGAGCCCAAGAATTTGGACCATCTTCTACTGCTTTCCCAGGCCATAGCAGAGAGCTGGATCAGAAGTGGAGCAGCCAGGGCATGAACTGGCACCCATATGGGATGCCAGTGCTTCAGGCAAGGGTGTTAACCTGCTGCACCACAGCACTGGGCATTATTAACTTTATTTCATTCATTTATTTTACTAGCAGAGAGACAGCAAGACAGATAACCTAACTGACAGACATAGGTTTCACATCCACAGGTTTATTATCCATGTGCCTGAAAGACCTGTGGGTGCACCAGTCCAGAGCTAGATGCTGGGAACCTAATCTAGGTCTCCCATGGGAGTGGCAAGAACCAGATTATTTGAGTCACTACCTGCTGCTTCCTATGGTGCACATTAGCAGGAAGATGGAATTGGAAGCAAAGTTCTACCATGGACCCACACATCTAAATATGGGCCACAGGTATTCCAAATGGTACCATCACCACTGCACCAAATGCCTACCTCTCATAACTTCAGTCCTTTCATGGATGTCCGCATGATGATGGTTTGTTCAGCTCCATTTTTATCTGATTTATGTAAAAAGTTTATCATTGCTTTTAGGGAAATCAAAAGAAATATGTGTAAAATATAACTATATACATACAGGTAGCAGAGTATCTAGGTTAGCATCTGGACCCAAATCTGTCAGAGTCTACAGTGTGTGTTACAGAATAGGGGGCAATCATGCTCATGTTTGTTTCTCTGTGCCTTGTATACTCCACTGATAGGTGTTTCACCTTTAGGTGAGTAGAAGAATCTGGTCATTTCTTTAATTCAGCCCTTCAAGGACTTGAATATTATTCTTCTGTACCTTCCTTGCCTTTTCCAGTCAGTTATATGATATAGATGTCCACACAGAAATAGTTAAATTGTCAAAGATTTCTTTAAAGTATGGGGCATTAAGCAAAAGAGAAAATCAGTGAAACAAAGATTGGTTTGTTGCAGAGGTCAACGAGATGGGATGATTTTTCTTAGATCAAGACCAAAACAGAAAAGATACAGTTCACGAATTAAGAAATGAAGAAGGGCATATTGCCAATAATTTTACAGAAATTCAAAAGAGTATAAAGGAATACTGTGAATCAATATATACCAAAATATTCAACAATTTAGTTGGAATACACAGATTGCTAGAAAAGTACAAATTATCACACTCTCTAGAAGAAACTAAAAATATTAGCCTAAAGCAGTCAAAAATCAAACAATAATAATAATAAATTTAATCAGTAATGTAAAACATTACCACAAAGTCCTGACCCAGATGGTTTCCTTTGTGAATTCTATCAAGCATTTAAAGAATACCAATATTTTCCAAATTCTACCAAAAAACTTGCCAACTCATTGTGTACTTAAAAAACAATGAGTTCAAATGAATTGTATTGATATCCTAAAAGTCAGTATTAGCAAGTAGCTGGATTACAAGCAGAGGAGCTGGCCTCAAAGTGGCCATCCAATATGGGATGCAGGCTCCCAACCTGTGGCTTACCCTACTGCACTACAACACTGGCCCCAACAGATTCACTTTAACATACCATGCTGATTGAGAAGAAAAAATTGCATTCTTAGCATTGAAAACTTCAGCAAGAGACATAGCAACATCACCTAAGCATTGTCACCCTGCAGGTTGTGCTGCTGGCCTCCCCTGGCCTGGAAGTAAAGGGGAGGATCATCAAACTTGCCACTCACTGTACTTTGCCCAAGGTCATGACCACAGATTCCAGAGCTGACCGCAGGGAAGCACAGGTCCCCCTGCAGCCAGTTCCAGCAGGTCCACCGACTCCACCTCCCCCTTCTCAGGACACCAAGCTTCTGAGGCACCCGGCTTCCTTTTCACAGACGGGCAGAGGCTGAACCACCCTGGCCCTTTCAACATCAGAGTCAGACTATCACTGTGACGCGAAGAGCCCGCGTGTTTACGTGATACTGCGCCGGCGCACCTGATTGGGTTATTTGCAAAGCTGGAGGGAGCATTCGACGTCACAAAGGTATAGCCAATCAGAGGAGGGCGGTGACTTGGGGTGGCGCAGTGTGGGGGTTATGAGAGAAGCCTGGGCTCTGGTCTGAAGCTACCACTTCCACATTTCTCTCTTCGCCTACAGCCCAGGCCGCTTCACCTCTGTTCACAAAAGGCATCCCGTGAGCTGGAGCTTTCAAAGACCTGCTTCAGGTGAGTCACCATTTGCTGACAGGTGACTCCTGGGCACTTGTCTTCACATTCTTGGGTCATTTTTCTATTTGGTCATTTACATTTTATATATTGATTTGAAGAGTGTGTAAAGATATTAGATAATTTAATATTTTTGACTCATTTCTGTTGTAAATATGTTTCCTAGTCTGTCTTTTGTCCACTAATATTTTCTTTTTGTTTCTTGCTGGTACTTAGCAATCCAATTGGATTTACATGTGGATCTACTGCCCAGAAGTGTTGCTATTGCTAATTATTAGTTGCATTTGTTTGCGGATTAGATTGGATTATCTTTTTTTTAACTTTTATTTAATGAATATAAATTTCCAAAGTACGGCTTATGGATTACAATGGCTTCCCCCCCCCCCATATCGTCTCTCCCACCCGCATCCCTCCCCTTTCCCACTCCCTCTCCCCTTCCATTCACATGAGGATTCATTTTCGATTCTCTTTATATACAGAAGATCAGTTTAGCATACATTAAGTAAAGATTTCAACAGTTTGCTCCCACACAAACATAAAGTGAAAAATAATAGATGATTTTTAAATGATGATGAAATCAGATCAGACCTATTGTCATGTTTAATCCCAGTGAGAGTCAAGTTGGGAATTGATAATTTTTTTTTTTTACAGAAGATCAGTTTAGTATACATTAAGTAAAGCTTTCAACAGTTTGCACCCCCATAGAAACACAAAGCGAAATATACTGTTTGAGTACTCGTTATAGCATTAAGTCTCAATGTATAGCACATTAACGACAGAGATCCTACATGAGGAGTAAGTGCACAGTGACTCCTGTTGTTGACTTTACAAATTGACACTCCTGTTTATGGCATCAGTAATCTCCCTATGCACCAGTCATGAGTTTCCAAGGCTATGGAAGCCTTTTGAGTTCACCGACTCTTATCTTGTTTAGATGTAATGCCATTCACATATATTGACAATTGTATTGCAAAAAATGTGATTCTTTTATCTTACATGCCTTTGTTTCCCTGACTATAGATCTAGTACAATGTTATGAGAGGAGGCAGCCTTGTCTGGGTGGGCTTCCAAGGAAACATCTCTCAGTGCTCCTTAAGTAATTTAATGTATGCTAATTTTAGATAATTTTGATCTGGTTAAGCAAATAATTATTTTTGAATATTTTGCTAACAGTTGATTTTTATGGCTGGATGCTGAATTTTATTAAATGCTTTTAAACATTTTATCTAAATGATCATGTAATCCCTTGCATTCTTCACCTACCTGGATGATTTACATCTTTTTTTTGAGAATGTTAAATACACTTGCACTTTTTAGTGTATCTTGCTTTTCATTTATCTATTAATTTTTCATATGTGGTTTATATAATATTTTTAAAGATTAATTTATTTATCTGATAGGCAGAATTACAGAGAGGCAGAGAGAGATAAAGAGAGAGAGAGAGAGTCAGGTTTTCGTCTGCTGGTTTACTCCCCAAATGGCTGCAATGGCTGGAGCTGGGCCGATCCAAAGCCAGGAGCCTGGATCTTCTTCCAGGTCTCCCACACAGGTGCAGGGGCCCAAGGATTTGGGCCATCTTCCACTGCTTTTCCAGACCATATCAGAGAGCTGGATTGGAAGTGAAGCAGCTGGGACATGAACCTGTGCCCATATGAGATGCAGACACTGCAGGCAATGACTTTACCCACTATGCCACAGCAAGGGGCCCAGATTGATATAATATTTTGTTAGAATATTTGCATATCTTTATGAACCAGAAGCTCTTTAATTTCACTTTAATCTATATCATATTCCGAGTTGCATCATCTGTGTAATAGTGGTTTCCCAAAAGAAATTTAAAAATATTCTGCTTATTTTCTCTTGGGGCAAGTGTGGAAAACAACTGTTTTTTCTGTCCTTATAAGTTTGGAATATACCATAAGTCTGCACCTGAAATTTTTCTTGTGAAGTCATTTTCAAGTTCTTCAAAGATTGGCTCTGTTTGTTTAGTTTATAGAGTTTTTTTTTAAAGATTCATTTATTTATTTGAAAGTCAGAGTTACACAGAGAGGAGAGGCAGATAGAGGTCTTCAATCCAATGATTCACTCCCCAATTGGCTGCAATGGCTGGAGCTGCACTGATCTGAAGCCAGGAGCCAGGAGCTTCTTTTGAGTCTCCCACAAGGGTGCAGGGCCCCCAAGCATTCGGGCCATCTTCTACTGTTTTCCCAGGCCATAACAGAGAGCTGGATCAGAAGTAAGCAGCCGGGTCTTGAACCTGTGCCCATATGGGATGCCAGTGCTCCAGGCCAGGGCGTTAACCTGCTGCACCACAGCACCTGTTCTGTTGATATAGTTTTTAAATTTTATGTTATATTTGTGTTTTGGGAAACTTTTTCAAAATATAGTGGATTTCAGTGTCCATAGTAAAATTTTCACGCCTAACAATTTCATAAAGCTCTCTTAGCATCTTTGTAAGTTCTGTGAACTCTATAAAGATGATTCTATTTTAATTTCTTGAAATTGCCTATTGGCTAATTAATTTTCTTAATATTTTAAGATGTTTTTTGTGATGGCCTTTCCTTTCACTGAATGTCAAAAACTACAATTATATAAATATATCAATAATATGTTGTGGCACAGCATGTTAAGCCACTGCCCACAAGGCCAGCATTCCATATGAGTACCAGTTCCAGTCCTGGCTACTCCATTTCTGATTCAACTCCCTGCAAATGCATCTAGAAAAACATCAGAGGAGACCCAAGTAATTGGGCCCCTGCCACCCACATGGTAGACCTGGATGGAGTCCTAGGTTCCTGGCCTTGTCCTTGCCAAGCCCATGGTGGAGGTCTCTTAAGGACTAAACTTGTGGATGTCATATTCTCTCTCTCTCTCTCTCTCTCTCTATATATATATATATACACACACACACACATATATATATGCATATATATTTATTTATTTTGCTTCCTTTATCCTTCCTTCTCTACTGTAACTCTGCTTTGCAACTAAGTAAAATAAACCTTTTTAAAAATAATATTGGGGCATAGAAGAAGAACTGAAATAGGAACAAGAACAAAAACAGAAACGGGACTGACAGAGGAAGGAGAGGAAGGGAACAATCAATGGAGTCATACCACTGTGTCAGTTTCTGGGATGGCTCCCAGTGACTCATTTCCTGGTACTCCTGCCCCAGTGCAGTCATTTTCTACACTGACTAGGACTCACCTACGTAATCCAGCAGATATTCCAGAAATAATGGAGTGGGACTTATGAGGCCAGATCCTAAAAGACATTTAAATTTCTCCCTTGCTCTCTTTTAAATAAGTTCTTGGGAATAAGCCAGCATCCCGACTTTGGGAGTGATCAGACAGCCCTCATAGAGAAATCCACAGGGTGCATAACTGAGGCCTACTGCTAACAACCAGCACTGCTTTTCTAGGCATGCAAGTGAGTGTATTGGATGTGAATCTGCCAGCCTCAGCCATACCTTCAGATGACTGCAGCCCAGCCAACAGCCTGATGTAGCTGCTTGTGGAAACCAGGTACAGAACTATGTATGTCAACATTTCTGGATTTCTCACCCAGAGAAAAGGGCATGTTTCTTGCTTTTAAGCTATTAAATTTGGGGAAAATGGTGTACAGTAACAAATAACTGTGAATGATAGGTGAAATAAGGTCCAAAGAATTACCATTTAATTTCTTTCATTTAGTTTAACTTCTTGAAGGTTATTAGTGACCTTGAAAAGAACAGTTCAGCAGAGTATGTGATCAAAAGCCTTATTAGAGTGTGTTCAGAGGGACTGAGAGAAGAGAAAGTGGAGACAGAAACTGCAGGTAATTC